TATCACCTATGCAAATTTGCTGAGAACTTAAAGTAACTTTAACACTCACATAGCAAAAGGTGTTAAGCACTTATAAACTAGAATCCAGCTTACTGGTGGACTTATAAATTGCTTGGCTATTTATAACTAACTAGTGGCTCGGTGCACGAAATTCATGCACCGGTGGGGGGGTGTCCCTCAGCCGACCTGAACCTTCTCCAATCAGGGACCCCTCAGGGGATGTCCAACTGCGGGTTTAGGCCCAATCCCATCTAAACCAGCAGTCGGACATCACTCTCGCAATCAGGGACTGCTGGCTCCTGACCGCTCACCTGCCTGCCTGCCTGATCTCCCCTAATCACTCTGCCTGCCAGCCTGCTCACCCCCAACTTCCCCCCTGCCAGCCTGCTCGCCTCCAACTGCCCTCCCCTCCTGGCCTGATTGCCTCTAACCACTTCTGCCTCAGCCCTGCCACCATGGCTTTGTCCAGAAGGTCTCCCGAAAGGTCTCCTGGTCTAATTAGCATATTACCTTTTTATCAATATATATATATATATATATATATATATATATATATATATATATATACACACATACACACACACACACACACACACACACACACACACATATATATATAGAGAGAGAGAGAGATATTTAAGAGAGAGGAGGGAGAGGGGGAGAGAGAAATATCAATGATAGAGAATCATGGATCGGCTGCTTCCTGCACACCCCCTACTGGGGATAGAGCCAGCAACCTGGGCATGTGCCCTTGACCAGAATTGAACTCAGGACCCTGCAATCTGCAGGCTGATGCTCTATCCACTGAGCCAAACCAGCCAGGGCATCACCAATCACTTTTAGAATGTTGTATTGCTTCTAGAAGAAACCCCATGCCACCTTCCCCATTTAGCTGCCTGCCCCACCCAGCCATCAGCACACTGCTGTTTCAGACATTTTATTTCATGGGAATGGGACCATAAACAATGGGCGTTTTGTGACCAGCTGCCTCACTTGGATGTATACCTCGGAGTGGCGGGTTGCAGGGTCCTATGTGACTGATATTAATCATTTGAGGAGCAGCTGCACCATTTCCATTCCGACAGCAGGGTGTGAGGGCTCAGATTTCTCCACATCCTCCCCAACACTTGCTACTATGTAACTTTTGGTTCTAGCCTCCAAGGTGACCTCGGGTCCCACCAAAGCATTGCTCTCTAGAGCAACAATCTATGCTTTTAATTCAGTTTTAAAAGTGGAAGTTGTTTGAAATGTCTGCACAAACATCCCTATTGGTAAGTTCTCGCTGCTCAGGATCCGCTGTGACACAGCTTGCAGGGGCTAAGTCTGTCCCAGGCCAACCTCACCCCCCTGCTGCCTGGTCCTGTCTGGTACTGGGGAGGGCCCTGGGGAGGGCGCTGAGGGCACCAGCCAACCCTCTTTGGGGCTGGCACAGGCTGTGTTGGGCTGTGGGAGCCTAGGGAGGAAGAGCGAGGTTCAGGAGCAGCTTTGGGGCCTTGCCTGTAGAGGTGACTGTGCTGCTCCCCGCAGGCCGAAGTGAGCAGTGCCCTGGGGGGCGGGGAGGGGGCTGGGGCACCTTCTCTGAAGGAAGCCTTGGGAGCCCAGGAGCTCCTGAGTGCCCGTCTGTGGGCTCCACTGCGCCCACCGTCCTGGCTTCTACACCTCAGAAGGCAAAGGTCCGATCAGCAAAAATGAACACTTTAGAGAGGTGACATGGGCTCCACCTCAGAGTGGCTCAGACACGGTTCACGGTCCCACATGGGACTGCAGACACCAGTGGGTGTGGGCAGCGGCCACGTGGCCCCGGCATGGCCCTCTGGCAGGGCCTGAGTGCAGGGAGGAGCCGGAGCTTCTTTGGGAGAGAAAGTCCACTGGGCTGAAGGCTCCCTCTTCAAACACTGATCGCTGGTCACGGTCTGGCCCACAACTCCCATCCACCGGGCCCTCCTCACGGAGTAAAGGGCGCCAGGCGAGGCCTCTTCTTGGCCGTCCCCATGGACCCGTTGGCTCTCCTGAGTCTGTGGAGGCCCATTGTGTGGCTTCGCGCTGGGCAGTGCAGTCACAGCTGCAACCCTGAGGCCAGGCTCTGGGCTCGGAGCTGGGGTCCCCAGTGTCGCAGCCCCCTGATCTGCAGCCCCCCTTACCCACACCCCCCCCAACCACAGCCCCGGGATCTGCAGTCCCCCTGATCTGCAACTCCCCCCAATCTGCAGTCCCCCCATCCACAGCCCCCCTGATCTGCAGCCCCTGTGCAGTAACTCTGGGCTCATTGTGAATGCGCCCTTATTCCAGGCCCAACGGTGTGCTGGTGCTCCGGGGCTGGCAAGGCTGGGAGCCTGTGGCTGCTCTGGTCCCTGCTGTTTGGTCTTCCCCTTACAGCATCCAGGTTAATTTGCAGATTTCTCTATTATATATATATAGATTAACCATATTAATCAGTGCTGTCAGTGAACTGTATAATGTTTTGAAATATTAACAGTCAAATTAATTAAATTTACCATCATCATCATATTTTATCTTTTCAACAGGCAAACTATTATTCATAAAGTGCCAATGGCTTTTCTTTTCTACATTTTAAGAAAATTTTCAATCCTAGCTAGAGTGATAACACAGGATTTGGGTAAAAATTACCACTTGGAAGTGGTGATTAATAAGTAGAAAACTAAAAGAAGCTAAACATACTCATTAAGCAGACATTATTTATTATTTGTTAATAAGCTTATATATCAGAATGATTTAATTCTCATAAATAGCTGATTGCATTGATTTTGTAAAGCAAATGATGTAAAACTCTAAGATAATTTATGTAATTAGTGAATATAAGTAAACCACTTCCCCATCATTCAAAAAGAAATAAACAGGTTAACATTAAATCTAGATGATGAGAGCTAGAATAACAAATAATTAAAATAAATGTGTAGACTATTAATTTACTGTGTTTTGCCCTACAATTATATGTCTACTTAAAAATTTTTATATGCTTGAATTGGTCATTGATAATCTCATTTGTCTAACCCCAAAGTGTGAAACACCGTGATTGCACTCATACCTGACTGAATATAAAAATAAGTAACCCACAATACGAGTACCTATGCCTCTTACAGCAGTGTTTTATTGGTTCTCATTATCAACATGTCTTGTCCTCATTTCCTTACCTGTAATATGTCAGGGGTTTAACTAGATGTCTCTTAAACTATTTAGAATTCTAACATGATATAACTCAGCAGTTTGACTCAAGTAATACATTACCTTCTTTACCCTAACAGGTTATATGGAGATATGATGGCAAAAAACCAGATACCTTAGGGCTAAATACCCGGCTCTATAAATGGATCCCCCAGAATGACCTTCTTGGTAAGATTCTGGAAAACCCTGAAATCAGAATCAAGTCAACCAGAATGATAAACAGTTCACTAGGATAGAAATGTATTGAAAATTTCTTACTGAAAACCTCAAAAATAAAAATGAACTTCCCTATATTCATTTCCTAGTCCTAGGGGGAAAGGATAAGCTGTAACAGTTGACATCTTATCTTACATAGTCACATTCCTTATGGCCATAAACAAAAGATCTTTAGTTCATGTGTAATTCCTCTCAGAGAGAATAGCTCAACACTTCCAATGATCACTCTGCCTCCTAATTCTCTCCTTACACCAATGGTTTAATCCATAAGGGTGTACAGGTGCCCCTGAAAAATATCAGCTCTTCTCTTATTACCAGTAACTCTCCATTATCCATTGGGGAAAAAATTAATATCACTTTCTGAAGTAAAAACATATTTCATTATAATGTGTAGATTTTCCTTCCTCTGATTCTGGTGCCACCATCATCCCATTGCTTGCTGCCTTGAAATCTGCATATCACACTCTGACTTCTCTATTTTATTAAGAGAATATATTTCAACATGCACCACCACTTTTTTTTTTTAGCATACACTTTTTAAAATCCAGAATATTCTCTTTCCATTTGTCCACTGGCAACTTGTATTCATTTCAAGTCAAAAGAAACACACTAATCTTCTATGTAAGCCTTCACTGTCCCTCCAGCAGACTTATGTTTCTCTTCCTATGAGATCTGAAAGACATTTTAATACAGTCTGAAGTGTAGCCCAATCTGTTACTAAATATATTGTCTCTGTCTATGCCTTTGTGCCCAACTCTCATTTTATTTCCAAGACTTATAATTCGTAATTTGCTGAAATTCACCCAATCATAGGTCATCCAAAAACCAAAGCCTTTATAACTCATGGTGGAACCAATGGCATCTATGAGGCGATCTACCATGGGATCCCTATGGTGGGCCTTCCTATGTTTGGGGATCAACCTGAGAACATTGCTCACATGAAGACCAAGGGAGCAGCTATCAGATTGGACTTCAATACCATGTCTAGTGCAGATTTGCTCAATGCATTGAAGACTGTCATTAATGACCCTTCGTAAGTATCACATATATTTTATAGATAGTATTTATACATAGATTATTTTGTCAATAGTTTATCTTAATTTCATTCCAATTTTAAGAGGCTAATTTTGACATTATTAACATGAGTTAACCCATCCTAATCGACTTTTATTTTCGACCACACATTTACTTCAAAGTTGCATTTTAATCCCATGTATTTAATGGGGAGCCATCTAATGCAACAATTTTCTCCTCCAATAATATGAAGTTATGTAGGTAATTATAAGGACACATTTTTTAAAAAATATGATAAAATACATAGTAGGGAGAGTAATCAACTGAAAGAAAAAATCATAAATTCTTTACCTAAATAAATTCAATACCTAAAATTTCTGAAACTATAAATATCTTTACACTCAAAAACTTATTTTACTGTAATCATTTAAACAGATTTTATGAAATATTATTTACATACCATAAAACTCACATGTTAAAATTATATAATTCAAATATACATAGTATGCTTACAAAGCTATGAAATTATCACCATAATATAAACTTAGGGCATTTTTGTCATCCCAAAAAGACATATCATATGCCTTAGAAGTCACTTCCCATCTCCCTCATCCAAGCAACCATTGATCAACTTATTGTCTTTATAGATTTGTCCTTCTGGACATTACATAATAACAGAATCATACAATATATGATCTTTTGGAACTGGCTTCTTTCACAGGGCACAATATTTTTTTGTGTATATTGTTTAAATATATTTTTATTGATTTCAGAAAAGAAGGGAGAGGGAGAGAGAGAGAGACACATCCTATATAATAAAAGGCTAATATGCAAATCGACCAAACAGCGGAACAACCGGTCGCTATGATGTGCACTGACCACCAAGGACAGACACTCAATGCAGGAGCTGCCCCCTGGTGGTCAGTGTGCTCCCTCTGTGGGCCAACCTCATGGTTGGTGTGAGCAGTGGCAGTGGTGGGAGCCTCTCCCACCTCCGCAGCAGCACTGAGGATGTCCAACTGCTAGTTTAGGCCCGCTCCACGTGGGGAGTGGAGCTAAGCCAGCAGTCGGACATCCCCCAAGGGCTCCCAGACTGAGAGAGGGTGCAGGCCAGCTTGAGGGACCCCGCCCAACTGAACAAATTTTATGCACTGGGCTTCTAGTCAATAATGAGAGAGAATCATTGATCAGCTGCCTCTTGCACACCCCACACTGGGGATCGAGCCAGCAACCTGGGCATGTGCCCTGACTCAGAATCAAATGGTGACCTCCTGGATCATGGATCAAGGCTCAACCACTTAGCCATGCTGACCTGTCAATAAAAATATTTTTTAATTAAAAAAATACAACTTTGAATGGGGATGATTGGCTTAAGGAAATTAACTTTCTTTCAATGTTGGTATCTTTGTGTTTCTCCTTTAGATATAGGGAGAATACTATGAAGTTATCAAGAATTCATCATGACCAGCCTATGAAACCTCTAGATCGAGCGGTCTTCTGGATCGAGTTTGTCATGCGCCACAAAGGAGCCAAACATCTTCGGCCAGCCGCCCATGACCTCACCTGGTTCCAGTACCACTCTTTGGATGTGATTGGGTTCCTGCTGGCGTGTGTGGCAACTGCTACATTTGTCATTGCAAAATGTGTTCTGTTTTGTTGCCAGAAGTTTTTTAAAACAGGAAAGAAGAAAAAAAGAGAGTAGTTATTTCAGAGGCCTGAAGCTGATATGCCTCATAGATGGGACTCCTCCACCTTATTCCAGCAGGAAGTTGCGATGTAAGGGTCACTATCTCCTGTGACCACCTTACTTATCACAATTTAGCTTCTCAGATCCAAATTTGTTTTCAAGTGACTACCTGGTTAAGAGTTATAAATATGTCATGCCAAACATAAAAACTTATAAAAATTAAAACAAAAATAAAGCCATATGAATATATTTTAAAGTTGTTATTCTAATTGCAAAGTTATACCAAAATATTAGCTTAACTGTGTTTCAAACATTACACATGAACATAAGAACATTAAGTAGTCTATTCACATATTAATATTATTTTGCAAATACTCAGAATATGTTAATATTATTTGGGTGCAAAAATCTGTAGTTTTATCTTTTGCTAAACAAAACTATTCAAAAGTTAGAATTGTGCAAAATAATTCATCCTTCTATTTCATTTTGGGAGACCACCAATGCTCCTATGTTTTACTGTACATCCAGCCTCAGCATCACTTCTTACCTACAGACATGGAAGTCATTTGCTTTCATCCAGTAAGTTAATTTATCATCAAAACTTATATGGATTGAAAAATATGACAACAGCTAATTGCTTCCTATTGTACAATGAGCTATATATGAAAGACTTTGGTTTCAGTAGCTAATTCTATTTACCTCACTGCCCCCTAAAGAGATTCACTGAGTTTTTTCACTCTCCTTTTAGTCTTTGATAATGGGTATATGGTTCTAATTATAAGTTTGATAATGTAGAATCCATACTCTAAAGGGAATTATTGAATTTTCATTCTCTCCAAATATATGTGTACATATATATGCCCACGTCTTGTAAAACAAGGCACAGAATCACTTAGCTACTTATAGACACAGTGAACAATTCAATGTGTTTGTTGAAGGCAGTTGAAATAGTGATTATTTCATACTAGGGGCCCAGTGCACGAATTCCTGCACCTTCAAAGGAGCTGTGGGCTGAGAGGCTCCAGTGAGCATAGGCACGAGTCTCGGCCCATCCTCCATGCCCCGGCCTGGTCCCTCCAGCTGCAGCCCCCAGTCTGCTTTCTGCCAGTAGCCCCGCTCTCACCACCCTGCTCCCAAGTGCTGACAGCGTGGAGTGATTGGGGCCAGCGCAAGGCACCAGCAGCAGGTGTAAGTACCAGATGGGACCACAGCACATGGGAGCAAAGAATTTTCAATAACCACTAGAGGCTCGCCCCGATGACAGCAACCAGCACCCCGCCTTGGTCTGGTGCCCACACTAACCTGCTACACCATCCCATAGTGGCCAATGCTCTTTTGATCTATTTGCATGTTATTCTTTTATTATATAGGATAACTCATACTAGACCAACATGTCTCATTACTTCTTTCTTTCCTTACAAGTCTGTTGTTTCATCCCTCTCATTAACCTTATATAAAAGCATTACAACCTTCAGCATGACAAAAGAAAAAATAAAATCATCTTTTTCTTTTCAATCTAGGCACACTATGACTGACCATTATCAATAGGAATCCAAACAAAACAAAAATCATGAAAATTTTATGGAAATAGGAAAATCAAGTCACAAGGATTCTCAAGGCTGTCCTAAAACATACACACCAGGATTGCAGGGGTCCAGATGAGAAAATCATTCCTGACTTTATTGGTCAAAAAGACCATCATCAGATTCTCATAGTAAATATTGTCCAGCCTAAGGCATGAATTCATTTTAGAAATAAATGAAAACTTTACTGCTGGGGGAATTACATGGTACATTTCTCACTGAATTTCCATAGAACTCCTCTAGATATTTGAAATCATTTCAAAGGGAAAACATAAATACACATTGTCATTGTAGGTAATAATGTTAAATCATATATATAAGCTTAATTTTCCTCAGATCTACTCAGTAACACATATAACTGATAAAGGTTGGTAATCATTGTAGAGTGAGAAACCTTACAAAACACAAACAAAAAAAGAAAAATATTCCAGGATGGAAATACATGGAGGATATGAACAGGCACTTCACAGAAGTAGAAATGGCCAATAACATATCAAGGATGGCAAAGGCCCTGATTTCAGGTAAAGGTAAACTGAGTCAGTAAATTGTTACCCACGGAATATTTACCAAACATAGGAATCTATGCGGGAAGAGGCTGCCTTGGCTGCCAGAAAGTACTCACTGGAGGGCCCTAGCGGCCTAGGGGGAGGAGGCCCTGAGTCCCTGGACACAGAGGCTGGCAGCCACATTCTAGCGCAGCAGGAGCCAGAGCAGCTACTTCCTGGGCCACCTGGCGCCCAAGCCCCCAGGTCCCCAGGTGAGACTCTGCGCTCAGCCTGCTGTAGTGCTTCTGAGCTGGGCGAGAACACACAGCTTCAGCCGACAATGGTGTCCTTGCGAGTCCTTGGCTGCAGAGGGTTCCACTGCCCATTGTTCAGCACCTGGCAGCAGCTTGTGCAGGCCGCCTTGGCCTTGTGGACTACGACGCAGTAGAAAGCAGCTGATTGGTCCCCTAGGCACAGCGTGACTCTGCATGAGTCCTCCAGGCCAGGGTCTTAACAGGAGGGTGAGTAGGGATTGGGGGGGTAGGGGGCGCACCTCCCAGCACCCGCTCCTGCACCTGCTTGGTTCTGCCTGAAGCTCCTGCCCCATGCTCCCCCTTGACGTCAGCCACGCCCTCTAGACCCAGGTTGCTCCCTGGCCAGCTGCCTGTTGCTCAGACAACTTGCCCATTTGCTACCTGGTCAAGGATGCCTCTCACAGGGCTGGTGCTTGCCCACCAGCCTCTCATGTTGGCCAGCGTCACATGTTTCAAGGGCCAAAATGCAATCTACCACTATGACACTGGGCCTTGCCATGGCCGGGACTTCACTCTGCTCCCTCCAGCTGCGTGGATGGCAGGGTGCTGGCTTGTAACTGGGGTCCTGGCTGCCTGCAGAAGCCGAAAGTGTTGAAGATCGCTGCAGGGCTGGGCCTCTCGGACAGTGGCAGCCTGTTGCCCTTGGATGCCTTCAGACTTGCAAACCTTGGAGCAAAGCCTTCCCTGGCTTCTCAGCCACCTTAAGCGCCCCTTCCTGCAGTTGCTGAGCACAGGAGAGAAAGTGTCTGTCACTGACTAAACCACAATAAGCGATTCCCAGATTCTGGGTCACCCCACCCCTAGAGGCCACAAGTGGGGGTGGGCATGTGTTGTGTGCCTCATGCTCTACACATCCCTTTGAAACGTTTGGAACTGAGAGATGGAGAGAGCACAAAACCCTTAGGACAGGCGATCCCAGAAAGCTGTGAATATACTGCTGTCTTCGTCAGCAGCCCAAGAGTTAGACTCTTTAACAGTCCAGCATGTTATGGGGCCTCGTGGCACATTAGCAGTGGCTGCCTGCAGTCTTCCCCGAGTGGCTCAGCCTCTGCAGAGAAGTTCCCTTCAGCACATCCATCGCCTACCAAACTGAAGGTGTCAGCAGGACACGGAGCTACCTGCCATCCAGAGGGGATGACTGGGGTAGGAGGCTTTGCAGCTCTTTCCTTGTTCATCTCCCCCACCAAGGAAGGCAGGCCTCATTTGGCCAAGGGCCATCTGCATCTTCCCTTCTAAGGAATTGGATTTTTTTGTCTCTGGTGCACATAAGGTACAATCTTCATGAACCCACTATGTGGATTTTTAGCCTGTAAGTCTGAAAGGACCACAAGCTCCTCTGTAGCTCTTTACTAGCATTTGCCAACCCCCATTGACTGATTTGAATACTTTTTCTCCCTGTGCCATTTTCCATCCCACCTCACTTTCCTGCCTTCCACCACTCTTGGATGAATGGATGCTGCAATTCTAAGTGTTGTAATTTGTGGACCTGTTATTTTTGTTGTTTTCTGTGAGGCACATATATTGGATGTGGGAGGTAAAGAAGCACCTCAGTTTTTCCTGGTCACTGCCTTTATAGCCATTACTATCTTGTTTCTTGTCACTCGGGTTAGGTTTTGGTCTCTTGCTCCACTGCAAAAAAATAACACAAAATAAATTCTGAAGACATGGAACAGGAAGAAAGACCACATGGCCCTATCTGCAGGGTTTTGTGGAGTGATTTTTCTTCCCCTTGAAGGGAAAAGGCTTTTTCAACTGGTACATTCGAAGTTGCCCAACTATAAGAGGTACCAATTTGCGATGAGTGCTACTGCAATACAGAATTCTCAGCTGAAACTTATTGGTCTACAACTTACTGTTGGCCACCATCGAATCTGTCTGGGGTTGTAAAGGAATATTGGGTGCTGCAAATAGAAACCAAAGGGGTAATTTTATAAATCCATAAACCTGTGATTGGTTACTGTTTTCTTGAAACTTTAAACAAACTAAAAATGGGGGAAGAGGCAGATGTCAAAACACTTGTCTAATTTTATTTTTTGAAACAATTTTTTTTTATTTCAGAGAGGAAGGGAAAGAGAGAGGTAGAAACGACATTGATCGGCAGCCTCCTAAACACCCCTTACTGGGGATCGAGCCTATAACTCGGGCATGTGCCTTTGACCAGAAGCAAACCTAACACCCTTTAGTCCACAGGCTAATGCTCTATCCACAGAGCCAAACCAGCTGGGCACTTGTCCAATTTTAAAATGTCACAATTAAACATGAGCTAGTTTCAATCAATCTATCTATCAATCAATAAATATTGTGTGTGTATCTTCATGTGGAATCTAATAACTATGGCAAGAACAGTATGACATGTCTTTGTGTCACCATCATTGCCTACTTATTCATCTACCTTTTGCTTTTTCCATTTGTGCTCCAAATGCTATGGCTGTTTTTACTTCCAGGTGGAGGATTTATATTTTAACATCTGACTGATTTCTCTTTGGACATAAGCATGAGCCATGGTAAAAGGGATCAGCCATTTGAAAAGAAAAGGACATACAGAAAGCCAAGAGACATATGAAAACATGCTCAAAGTCACTAATCATCTGAGAGATGCAAATCAAAACAACAATGAGGTATCATCTCACACCTGCCAGAATGACTATCATCAACAAATCAACAAACGACAAGCGTTAGAGAGGATGTGGAGAAAAAGGAATGCTGTGGAAAACAGTATGGTGTTTCCTCAAAAAAATTAGAAATGGAACTGCCATTTAACCCAGAAACACCAATGAGAAAGGATATATGAATCCCTATGATCATAGCAGCACAACTTACCATAGCTAAGATTTGGAAACAGTCTAAATGCCCATCAGAAGATGAGT